TCTCCTATTTTAACTGACAAATCCATTTGTTCTCTAGGCTTTCTTAACTTGTTAATCTCACTCCAAAACTTTTTCTATTTTCAACAAAATTTGTTGATAAAATCTCACACCACTCTCTCATTTGCTCTCTTTTTACATTGCTTCACCACTCTCTTAACCTCTCTCTCTTTCTCCATATACTCTTCCCTCCTTGCATCACTTCTACTTTGTAAAAACTTCTCATATGCTAACTTTTTCTCCCTTACTACTCTCTTTACATCATCATTCCACCAATCGCTCCTCTTCCCTCCTGCACCCACTTTCCTGTAACCACAAACTTCTGCTGAACACTCTAACACTACATTTTTAATCCTATCCCATACCTCTTCGACCCCATTGCCTATGCTCTCATTAGCCCATCTATCCTCCAATAGCTGTTTATATCTTACCCTAACTGCCTCCTCTTTTAGTTTATAAACCTTCACCTTCTCTTCCCTGATGCTTCTATTCTCCTTGTATCCCATCTACCTTTTACTCTCAGTGTAGCTACAACTAGAAAGTGATCTGATATATCTGTGGCCCCTCTATAAACATGTACATCCTGAAGTCTACTCAACAGTCTTTTATCTACCAATACATAATCCAACAAACTACTGTCATTTCACCCTACATCATATCTTGTATACTTATTTATCCTCTTTTTCTAAAATATGTATTACCTATAACTAAACCCCTTTCTATACAAAGTTCAATCAAAGGGCTCCCTTATCATTTACACCTGGCACTCCAAACTTACCTACCACACCCTCTCTAAAAGTTTCTCCTACTTTAGCATTCAGGTCCCCTACCACAATTACTCTCTCACTTGGTTCAAAGGCTCCTATACATTCACTTAACATCTCCCAAAATCTCTCTCTCTCCTCTGCATTCCTCTCTTCTCCAGGTGCATACACGCTTATTATGACCCACTTCTCGCATCCAACCTTTACTTTAATCCACATAATTCTTGAATTTACACATTCATATTCTCTTTTCTCCTTCCATAACTGATCATTTAACATTACTGCTACCCCTTCCTTTGCTCTAACTCTCTCAGATACTCCAGATTTAATCCCATTTATTTCCCCCACTGAAACTCTCCTACCCCCTTCAGCTTTGTTTCGCTTAGAGCCAGGACATCCAACTTCTTTTCATTCATAACATCAGCAATCATCTGTTTCTTGTCATCCGCACTACATCCACGCACATTTAAGCATCCCAGTTTTATAAAGTTTTTCTTCTTCTCTTTTTTAGTAAATGTATACAGGAGAAGGGGTTACTAGCCCATTGCTCCCGGCATTTTAGTCGCCTCATACGACACGCATGGCTTACGGAGGAAAGATTCTTTTCCACTTCCCCATGGACAATAGAAGAAATAAAAAGAACAAGAGCTATTTAGAAAAAGGAGAAAAACCTAGATGTATGTATATATATATATATGCATAAAATTATGGGGAATCAAACACAAAATGGGAAGTGACACAGATACTTTTTGTTGATGATACTGTGCTTATGGGAGATTCTAAAGAAAAATTGCAATGGTTAGTGGACGAATTTGGGAATGTGTGTAAAGGTAGAAAGTTGAAAGTGAACATAGAAAAGAGTAAGGTGATGAGGGTATCAAATGATTTAGATAAAGAAAAATTGGATATCAAATTGGGGAGGAGGAGTATGGAAGAAGTGAATATTTTCAGATATTTGGGAGTTGACCTTTCAGCAGATGGATTTATGAGGATGAGGTTAATCATAGAATTGATGAAGGAAAAAAGGTGAGTGGTGCATTGAGGTATATGTGGAGACAAAAAATGTTATCTATGGAGGCAAAGAAGGGAATGTATGAAAGTATAGTGGTACCAACACTCTTATATGGGTGTGAAGCTTGGGTTGTAAATGCTGCAGCGAGGAGGCAGTGGAGATGTCCTGTCTAACGGCAATGTGTGGTGCAAATATTATGCAGAAAATTCAGGTGTGGAAATTAGGAAAAGGTGTCGAGTTAATAAAAGTATTAGTCAGAGGACTGAAGAGGGGTTGTTGAGGTGGTTTGGTTATTTAGAGAGAATGGATCAGAGAAGAATGACATGGAGAGCGTATAAATCTGTAGGGGAAGGAAGGCGGGGTAGGGGTCGTCCTCGAAAAGGTTGGAGGGAGGGGGAAAAGGAGGTTTTGTGGGCGAGGGGCTTGGACTTCCAGCAAGCGTGCGTAAGTGTGTTAGATAGAAGTGAATGGAGATGAATGGTATTTGGGACCTGATGAGCTGTTGGAGTGCGAGCAGGGTAATATTTAGTGAAGGGATTTAGGGAACCAGGTTATTTTATATAGCCGGACTTGAGTCCTGGAAATGGGAAGTGCAATGCTTGCAATCTAAAGGAGGGGTTTGGGATATTGGCAGTTTGGAGGGATATATTGTGTATTTTTATATGTATATACTTCTAAACTGTTGTATTCTGAGCACCTCTGCAAAAACAGTGATTATGTGTGAACGAGGTGAAAGTGTTGAATGACGATGAAAGTATTTTCTTTTTGGGGCTTTTCTTTCTTTTTGGGTCACCCTGCCTCGGTGGAGATAGCCAACTTGTTAAAAAAAAAAATGACTAAAGTTAAAGTCTCCTAGAATTACTACATTATCGTGCCTTGTAGCCTTAACAATTTCCTCCCATAGTGGTCTCCCTTGGTCCTTATCTACATTTGGGGGACAGTATATCACTCCTAAAATCAATTTTTCATGCCCCTCTGAAAATTCTATCCAAATAGACTCTGTATGTGTTACTTCAGACTTAATACCTGTTTTTATGCAACAGTTCAAGCGATCTCTGACATACAATGCCACCCCACCCCCCTTCCCGATACTTCTATCTACTTGGAACAATTTAAAACCCTGAATGTGACATTCTGCAGGCATGTCCCGACTTTTTGAATTAAACCACGTCTCAGTTATGGCAAATACATCAATGTTACCTTCACTAGTAACTAATCTCAACTCGTCCATCTTATTCTTAGCACTATGGCTATTAGCATAATATACATTGAAAGACCCTCCTTTCTCTTTACCCTTCCATTCATTTCCAACTCCTCTCCTTGGCAAAATACCACATATGACAGGGTTCCCACCCTTGTTCCTCATTATTTCTATTGCTGACCTATACCACAGGGTTGGCACTAGAAGCTTTCTTTGGGCCCATGGTGGCTTATTTAGCAGTCACAAGCACTAAAAACACTGGAATAATACAAAATTTATCGTATGTATGTGTGCAACCGTGTCCGCCCCGGCTTGTAAACAATGTCACACTAGCTCAGCTGAGGCGCTCAGACCAGACAGATGCATGGACGCTACGGGACGAATAATGTAAGTTGAGCTTTTCAATGTATGTCGGGGTCAAATTATTACGCTGACAAGCATCGTAAGTCGGTTTTAACATAGGTTGAGGACATCGTAAGTCGGAGGTCCACTGTATATCACAGTTAGCCATGTGCTATACTCTGTTTTCTATAAGCCCCCAAGACAGATAGGAAAATGGTACTTGTATCCCATGTCCTCTTCATACCTCTGTCGAATTGCTTGGTATTATGCCAAATATTTTTCATTCTGGAGTATTTAACATGTTTTTTGTTATTTATATTGTTTATTATGTCATGTTAGATCAACTGTGATAGACAAATAAGCCATAGTGTTGATATTAGCGTAATAATAAAGCATATTCCCTTGCATCACGAGATTGAGCTCATGGCAACCGACAGTGGCTTCAAAGCCACCTTATCTTTAATGGATAATGTACTGTGTAGGTGCTTTACATGATGAGAAGCATTTCTTTTATTCGTTGGAAGCCTGGTTAGGGCTAAAAGAAAGCAGGTTATAACAATAAAGGGAGAAAAAGAAATTTGAAATTATGCTAGCCGAAATTAGTGCCGAATAACTCATGGAACCGGATGTCTGACTGCTGGATTTGTGATGAAAGACCTGTACTTCTGAAATCAGAAGACATTAGTGGGTAAAAATATATTTTAATAGACTGTACATATAAAACAAAATTAAAGACAACTACTTTCACACTAGTACATATAGTGTATAGTGCCACAAACACAAAACACTATGTAAAACTTCTACAGTGGTCCCTCGTTTTTCGCAATTAATCCGTTCCTGGAGGAGCTACTATAAACGAAATTTACGATCTGCGAATCAATTTTCCCCATAAGAAATAATGTAAATACAATTAATCCATTCCTGACACCCAGAAGTATTAAAACAAAACAAAAATTTACATGAAATATACATGTAGAACATAAACAACACAATGGGAAATGATGAATGAAACATTAACAGCATAACACTTACCTTTATTGGAGATTCTTCTTAGTGTATGGGAGACTGGAGGAGGAGAGAGATTGGATTGTTTACAGTTTGGAAGGGGAATCCCCTTCCAGCAACACCTCAGGTACCAATTGCTTCTCTGGGGTTGCTTCTCTTCTCTGTTTCTTAATGCCACTAGGACTACCTTGAGAGTCACTCTAGTCCTGTCTTGCAAAGTAACTGTGGAGAGAGCTCTGTTTCTGGCATCTCTTTAACACTTCCCTAAAATGGCCCAAGACTTTGTCACTGTACATATTTCTCACCTTCTTTACCACAGGCTTGGCACTAGGAGCTTTCTTTGGAGCCATGGTAGCTTATTTAGTACTTGCAAGCACTAAAATGAGTGGAATATTACGAAATATTTCGTAGGAGCACTTGAAGGGACCTTCACTCACTGGTAAACAATGCCAGACGGGCTGGGTAGGGAGGCCGCCCCGACTCACACCGTGCATACGCGTCCCGGACGAACTACTATTCGCGAGTCAACCTATGAAAAGTGAGTCCACGTTTATACGAAAATACCCCTATGATTGGCGAAATTTACGATTGCTGAGAACTACGAAAAGCGAGGGACCACTGTATTTGGATAATACAGTCTACTCACATGTATATTAAAAAAAACATGAGAAAACACAACTCAAACATAGTGCTTTATCACTTTATTTGTGGAAGCTATAAATAATCCACCCTCATGAGGATTCAAGTTCACATCATACATTACCTTAATTATACGATCATACTCAATGCCTTCTTGGCCTCCACCAGCTAACGTAAGTGTTAGGAAAATATGTTCATCCATTGTGCCTTTGAGAAGAGGTCCCAAATTGTCCAGTATCACTGAACTTGGTAAAGTTGAAGTGTTCTTGCCTTTCAGCAGAAGTCCTACAAATTTTGTTGCCATTTCTGCATTCAAGTGATTGGTGATATGTTTCTGTAATGAATTGCTGGAATTCAATATCATACAACATATATATGGTATGAAATGATATTAAATTAAACAAATTTAAAAACCATCTTCATTCCCATCATCATAATAACAAAATGAAAATTAAGCAAACACAAAAAATGAAAAAAGTATTCCAAGTCACAAGTCAAAACACTTAAAATTAAAGAGGTATCAACAAGGGAGCACAAATTTAAAAGTAAAAATGAACCAGAGATACACAAAGAAACTTCAGCATGGAAGTGATGGTACGTAAACTTTCCTACTAAAGAGAGTAGTGGTGACAAACTCCATATATGAACTCAATTGTAAATATGGCAAAAAGCTCACAATGGTTGAAAATGCATTACATCAATCAAGAGACATGATCAAAGAAAGAGGGAGGGGGGAGGGGGGGGAGGGGAGGGGGAGAGAAAGAGAGATATAGAGAGATATAGAGAGATATAGAGAGAGATATAGAGAGATATAGAGAGATAGAGATAGAGAAATAGAGTGATAGAGAGAGACAGATAGAAATAGATAGAGACAGAGAGAGAGAGAGAGGTTGTGGTTGTGGAGGTTGGTGTGGTGGGTGGGTGGGGGATGGTGGCCTTTGTTGTAGTTCTGCTGAGTCAGCGGCATGGGTGGCAGCATGGTCCACTGCTGGTGCCTCATGTCTGGCACGACCACTACCACCAACAGATGCATGCACGATGGAAATAAATGGTATAAAATACCGACACAATGGAAATATAAACACACATGCAGTATAATGTGATCCTTTATTGACAACGTTTCGCCCACACAGTGGGCTTTTTCAAGTCACAAACAGATCTACCTGGGGTGGAAGGTATGCAAGTGTTTATAGTCAGGTTCAGAATGCTGAGGTCAGGTGGAGAATGCTGCATCTGAAGATGTACCGAGTGAGGTTATAGAGTCTAAAATCTTGGGTAGCTACCCAAGATTTTAGACTCTATAACCTCACTCGGTACATCATCAGAGGCAGCATTCTCCACCTGACCTCAGCATTCTGAACCTGACTATAAATACTCGCGTACCTTCCACCCCAGGTAGATCTGTTTGTGACTTGAAAAAGCCCACTGTGTGGGCAAAACGTTGTCAATAAAGGATCACATTATACTGCATGTGTTTATATTTCCAGATGCAGGCACATTTTCCATCCCAATTGCAACACTATCATCTTCATTTTCACTATCTGTTCCTGTTGTACAGCCACGGGATGTACTCCAAGATGAACTCCTTCCCCTTGGAATAGCATATGGCACACTACCAGAGTGCATATACCGTCGTATATACTGACGCTGCACTGGAGAATACATGTATTCCACTTCACTATCGCTACTGGAACTGTTTTCAAGAGCTTGTAGTTCATATTCACTATCACTATCATCACCATTGCTCACATATGAGTCCTGGATATGGGAAAATACGAGTTTCCTCTTTCGTTCTGGTACAAATGAACGTGAACAAGACGGCCCAGCACCAAAGGTGGAAGGTTGAGGGTCATCTGGATTTTCCTCACTATTACCGGTATTATGGTCATTAGTTTCGATCACAACCTCATCAGAACATTGAAACTTGTCTTCACTAGCACTTCCATCTGTATTAGAACTGTCACTGGGGAACAAAAGTGTCCCAATTCGCCGAGGAGTGAGGAGTTTCTTACCACGAGGCATGGTGAACAAGGTGTACTAAAATGGCATTCCCACAATGCACCACTGGGTCCCCGATTTTTTCCTACCATGCACACTGACCACACAGACCCATTCTCTCACATCTAGGCCTACCAGCCTTTTCCCACTTGATTTGAAGGCCTTAGAATTTAGGCATACTAGTACATCAATAACCCTGGCACGTAAGCCATACTAGTACATCGGAAACCCTGAAAGGGTTAAAACAATATCAATGTTGGCTGACACAAACCCACTACCATTATACAGTGAACCCCCGAGTTTCGTGATTAATCCGTTCCAGAGAGTCTGCCGAATGACGAAATTGCCGAATGGCGAAACCATTTTCCCCATAAATAATGGAAAGAAAATTAATCCGTTCCATACACCCAAAAATATTAAAAAAAATTTTTTTTTTTCAAATTAAATAAAGATTTACATACAGAAAACTATGAGAAATCAAGTACATACATATATAAAATAATAATATTACACTTACATTTACTGAAGACTTCTGGGTGGATGGAAGACAGGAGGAGGGGATAAGAGAAAGGTGTACACTAGTGTTTGGAAGGGGAATCCCCTTCAGGTACCAAGTCCTTATCTTGGGTTACTTCCCTTCTTTGTTTTTTAATGACACTGGGAACAACCTGAGAGTCACTGGACCCCTGTCGCACAAAATATCTGTCCAGAAAGCTCTGTTTCTGGTGTTTCTTTAAGATTTGTCTGAAGTGGGACACAACACTGTCATTGTACATGTTGCCAGCACGGCCTGAAACAGCTTTGCCAGGGTGAAGTTCTTCCATAAATAATTGCACATCAGTCCACTTGGCACAAATGTCCTTAATCTTCGAAGAAGGCACCTTCCTCCATCTCTCTTCCTCCTCCTCCTCTGCAGCAATTTCCTGAGCTGTGGTCTCTTGCTGTTGCAGATGAAGTTCTTGCAGCTCTGCAGTGGTTAGCTCTTCATCGTGGTCCTCCACCAACTCTTCCACATCCTCGAAACTCACATCCAACCCCATGGAATTCCCAGTGATACAATACTTTCCACAACTGGCATAAGCTCCTTAGGGTCAGCCCCAAACCCTTCAAAATCCCTCTCTTGTACACATTGTAGTCACAATTTTCTCCAAGCAGAATTCAAAGTTCTGCAAGTCACTTCCTCCCAAGACTTACCTATAAGGTTTATGCAAGTGAGGATATTAAAGTGATCTTTCCAGAACTCTCTTAGAGTTAATTCAGTGTCTGAGGTCACTTCAAAGCACTTTTGAAACATTGCTTTGGTGTACAGTTTTTTGTAGTTTGAAATGACCTGCTGGTCCACAGGCTGGAGGAGAGTTGTATTAGGGGACAAGAACTTCACCATGATGAAACTAAACTCGTCCACCACTTTCTCTTCCAAGTCTGGAGGATGAGCAGGAGCACTGTCCATTACCAAGAGGCACTTGAGTGGCAGTTTATTTTCCAGGAGGTATTTCTTCACACTGGGACCAAACACTTCATTAAACCAATCAAGGAAAATTTCCCTTGTGACCCATGCCTTACTGTTAGCCTTCCACATCGCACACAAATTACTCTTGGCAACACTGTTCATAGATCTAAACTTACTCCCTGTTCAGTACATCCACACTTACTACTGTGCAATCTACATCTACAGGACCTTAAATTCCAATATTAACCCTTTGACTGTTTTGGTCACATACATACGTCTTACGAACCAGTGTTTCAGACGTATATATGTATACTCAATAATTCTAGCGGCTTCAAATCAAGCGGAAGAAAGCTGGTAGGCCCACATGTGAGAGAATGGGTCTGTATGGTCAGTGTGCACCACATAAAAAAAAATCCTGCAGCACACAGTGTGTAATGAGAAAAAAAAAAACTCAGATCGTTTTTTTGGATTAAAACGCCGACTTTGAGGTGTATTTTCGTATAGTATTTATCGATGTATTTGCGTTTTCATGGTCTTAGGTGATAAAATGGAAAACATATTACAGAAATAGAGATGATTTTCATTACTTTGACGATGAAAACGTCCTTGAAACTGAGCTCAAAGTAGCGGAAATGTTCGATTTTTACCAATGTTCAGGAGTAAACAAATCACACCACACGTCCAATACACGTCAACTGGGAGTCTAATATTCTTTCACTAGTGAAATGATATTATTTATACCATTTTTAAAATAATGCAGTAGTCTGCATAACAGTAAATTTTGTATTTTTTTTTTATGAATAAAAAAATCAAAATAGAAGCAATAATAAAATAAGAGGGCCTAGGATTGACTAATGAACAGAGAATATGTTATTTTAGTGCCAAATGTCTACCTTGTTTTATTCTGACCCTATTTTGAAATTAGCATCTTTTTTATTTTGGTGAAATTTGAGCCAAATTGCCAATTTATGACCACAATATTGGGTAGTCCAAATTGGTAAATGGGAGGTTTTTGTACTCGCTGATAGATAAAAATAGGAAAGTTCTAAAGAATAGCTATGAAGTTTGGTCAACTGGAACAACAGAATTGGCTAAAAAATAGGGCCCCAAAAGTCGGCCGAAATCGCCGTACGCATATGTCGCCGAGACCCGGATAACTTCGGCAGGAGTGAAATTACATGAGTTTTCGCCCCAAATTTCGAACTTTTGTTGTCATTACCATCGGAAAAGATCTCTATCATTTCAAAAGAAAAAATTATTTTTTTTTTTTCAAAATTTAGGCGACATAGAATGACAGGTTTCAGAAGGGAGCCTGAACAGTTAAAAGGGTTAACCTGTGACCTAAAACGTTTCTTGATAGTTGTGACAGAACCAAAGGCACAACAACCAGACACAAAAAAATCTCTAGACTTTCCCCGGGTGTCCGACTAAAACCTTAAAAAAATTTCCCATGTATGTCAAAGGCCCTAAAATCTGGAACACCCTACCTGAAAATTCTAAAACTGCAGACACATTTCATCCCCTTTTCAAAACAATCATCAGAAAAAATCTTATCTCCCTGATACACCCTGTCAACTAATTATACGAACACCCCCTGGTGGTTCACACTTAAACTCACTCACCATTTGACCATAAACAGAAATATCCATCTCAATCTCAAAATAATAAATTCTTAACTAGTCATAAGTTGGCCTGTGATACTCCAATACTGAAACTATGTATAGTGCCAAAACAAAAGCATTCACATTGCTAAACTCACAAACTAGTATTTAGTCACTTAGCCATAATACCAACTTACCTCATAATTTTGTAATATTTTAAACTTAAGATTTAATCTAAGTCTGCCCGAAATGCCTAACCATGCTAGGTGTTCTAGTGGTACACTCTGTAATTATTATTTTACTATATGTAAATCACACAATAACCAAATTCTGTAAACTCAGCATTGTAATCCTTATAGAGAATAAACTTTTAATTTGAATTTGAATTTGAACACTCTGGGATTTTCAGAGTGATACACCAGTAAAGGCTTCACTTTTCAAACCCCACTAGCATTACTACAATATATGAGAGTTAGCCTGTCTTTCATAGGCTTGTGTCCTGGGAGTGCCATTTCCTTCTGTATAATGTAGATCCTCTTTGGCATTTTCTTCCAAAAAAGGCCTGTTTTGTCACAATTGAACACTTGTTGAGGTTTGAATTCTTCAGTGTCTACATACTCCTTAACTCCTGTACAAAATTCTCAGCCGCTTTTTTGTCAGAACTGGCAGCCTCACAATGCCTTACCACACTGTGTATGCCACTACACTTCTTAAATCTCTCAAACCAACCTTTGCTGGCCTTAAAATCACAAGCATCACGACTAGTTGCAGGCATTTTCTTTTCAAGATCATCATGCAACTGCATTGCCTTTTCACATATTATCAACTGCATAATACTATCTCCTGCTAACTGTTTTTGGGTAATCCACACCAACAATAACCTTTCCACTTCTTCGAGGGTTTGCGATCTCTTTTTTGTCAGCATATCTACCCTTTTTGTAACAACAGCACATTTTATTTCCTTTCCCTTCGCCACGATCGAAGTGATGGTTGAATGGGGTTTGCCATACGTCCTGGCAAGTTCTGTAACACGCACTCCGCTCTAATATTTTTCAATGCTTTCCCTCTTGAATTTGATCGTGTTCCTCACTTTCTTTGCCAAAGGGCTGGCACTAGCTTTCCTTGGGCCCATGGTGACTTATTTAGCAGTTGCAAGCACAAAAAATAATGGATTATCATGAAATGTATTGTATGAACCTGCGGGGTGATGGTCACACGCTGGTAAACAATGGCACACTGAGTGTGAATGGTGCAGGAGACTGGATTTATGTGCGCGGTGACGGGTGGACACGTACCAGACAGTCGCCGAATCACGAGTCCAATCAAGAACTGCGATGCTAAATTTTGCCAAAAAGTTGCCGAGTCAGATTTCACAAAAGTCGCGGCCGCTGAACGGTGGGAGGTTCACTGCAGTATGCTTCTCACATAGCGACGAATTCGTTTACCAACGTGGCCTTAGGAATGGAACTCCGTCAATAAGTGAGCAGAGGCTGTATATAGTAATTACAATAGTTTAAAAAAACCTAATCTTACCTCTAATGAAGCAACAGCAACCACATCACCTCCTTTGGAAAGTTTCTGTATAGTATGTAAAATACGCTGACGCTCTTCACCAGAAAAATATTCCTTACGTATATTCTTGCTACTTTCTGCTCCCATGGCTGTGATGGATACCTATATCAAAAGGAAAGAAAGATCAGTTGACAATAATGAGACCAAAAAAATTGTCAAAGATAAAAGCTCTTTGGAGTTCACCTAGTGGACCTCCAACCAATTTATTCCTGTTTGAAATTTTGTTGCATCAAATCTTTGTTCACTCCAGTATTATTACATTATGCTTAAATCTGTTACATGGTATAATGTAACAAAGACTGATACAACACCTATATCACAAGAAAAATTCAAATGAGAATATAATATTTAAGTAATTTTAAGAAAATTATTGAGAAAATTTAAGAAAAGGTCTCAACAGTATTAACCTACTGGAACTTAAACCTCTTCAGTCCTTGCTGAAATGTTTTGCTAACATCTTTACCTACTACAGTATTAGTATACCTTGAAAGAGCCAATTTATGTATTAATTATTAATTTATGTATTAATTACAAATGTAGGATCAATATATACTGTCTTCAGTGTACAGGAATCAAAAGGAGTAAAACACCTAAAGTAAAATGTTTAAAATATATTAATAACCAAACAAATCCAGTTTCTCTTGATACAGTGCTACAAAACAAGATGATAATTAAACAAAGAAAGCATTATTGGGAATCATAAAATGTGTGATAGGTTAACAACTTAACTGTAAGTAATTCCTATCATCCATAACCATTCTTAACTTCATGAGTGTCAGGTGGGATACAGTATGCCTCACATCATAACCTGACACAGGCATGGCAGAATTGATTGTATGATGTAAGGCCTTCTTTCTTTCAACAAACCAGCTGCATCCCACAGAGGCAGGGTGGCCCAAACAGAAAAACAAAAGTTTCTCTTTTTAACTTTAGTAATGTATACAGGAGAAGGGGTTACTAGCCCCTTATTCCTGGCATTTCAGTCATCTCTTACAACACACATGGCATACAGAGGAAGAATTCTGTTCCCCTTCTCCATGGAGATAAGTGGAAATAAACAAGAACAAGAAGTAGCAAGAAAATAGAAGAAAACCCAGAGGGATGGATGGATGGATATATATATATATATATATATATATATACAGTGGACCCCCACTTAACGATCACTTCCCAATGTGACCAATTATGTAAGTGTATTTATGTAAGTGCGTTTGTACGTGTATGTTTGGGGGTCTGAAATGGACTAATCTACTTCACAATATTCCTTATGGGAACAAATTTGGTCAGTACTGGCACCTGAACATACTTCTGGAATGAAAAAATATCGTTAACCGGGGGTCCACTGTATATATATACAGTGGACCCCCGCATAGCGATATTAATCCGTGCAAGAGAGCTCATTGTTATGCGAAATTATCGTTATGCGAATGAATTTTCCCCATAAGAAATAATGGAAATCAAATTAATCCGTGCAAGACACCCAAAAGTATGAAAAAAAAAATTTTACCACATGAAATATACATTTTCCTCCACACAAAGAGAAGGATACATGCACAATAGTAGAGTAGTACATGTACATGCACAGTATACATTGTGCATGTACTACTTATTTTTAAAGAAAAATAAATGCACCTTTATTGAAGAGCAGCAAGATGATGAGACATGTGTCCTGGAGTGCCTTTTCTCCTGAGTACTGTAGGT